CCCCCCCCCCGCAATAGCATCTCTCTTTCTGTCTTCCTCTCTCCTTCTGATTTCCTGGGTTTAGTGGGCCCTTCAGTTTGGGGGAGCAATTTACCTCATCGGACTCGTCCGACTCGTCCGCCCACCAGGTAGCCATCTTGAACTTTGAGCAGGTCCCCCAAGAACCACGTGTCTCAATACATTGTTTCCAGTGGGAGCACTTTACTGCCTTCTAACCATGCCAGACCTCTGGGGGGGGGGAACCAACAATTCCTTTTAAATAGGTACTATATATACAAGGTACAAAATTAAAAATAAAGGGAAAAAAATCCTCCCTCACCTGTTTCATCCACCCATTTGGCTTTCTCAGAAGGCATAACTGTTTATGTTTTTTGTCTGTATGATTTACAAATAGTTTATATCTTCTTCAACTGACTGAATTGTACTAAACTCTTAGGGTCACCAACATTTAGACAGCCAAACAGGAATACAGCTATACAAGGTGGGAAACCCCATAATATAATAAAAAGTCATTGCACTCATGTTGTTATTTGAAAGTAATTTTTCAGCATCAGATGTTGTATTATTTACTTTTCTGTTATGTAAATACTGTTATCTAAACATAACAGGATTCCTTAACAGTTCCAATTATTGCTGATTAATTTTAAGACTAATTAAATCATATGTGGGAGGAAAAGGGATTTTTGCAGGGGTCCCATCTGTGTGGGTGGTACCTATAGGATGGTTTCACCATGGTTAGGGAGCACAGGCCTGGAGAGAGAGAGAGAGCAGGGGAAGTAGCAGTGTAAAGGTATGGGTAAAGGGTAAAGGTGTGGATAATTGTAAGTTCACAGCTGAATGAGTAAGATAGTGAGGAGCCCAGTCTTAGAGATGCTTTTAAGTTTTTATATCTGTCCTTTGACTTGAACCATTGAAATATAGCATAGAACTGGAAACTGTAATCTGCGAGTGCAATTGAGCCCTACCTCTGACATGAGAAAACTAAACATGCATTTAAAGTGGATGTTAAGACAACGTAAACTTATAAGCATCCAGGGCTGGAATTGTGGCTCAATGCTAGAGTGCTTGCCTAGCATATGTGAGGCACTTAGTTTGATCCTCGTCATCACATAAAAAATAAATAAATAAAACTACCATGTCCATCTACAACTAAAAAATTTTAAAACTATATAAGCATCCAGTACTGGGACACAAAATTAGCTTATTTCTATCGCACTGAATGGTACTTATAGTCCTAGTACAATTGGCACTTTACCAGGATACAACTTCTTATAGGGACATCAAGCTTATGCTTTCTGCTGCACAGTAGCTTATCCTGTGTACTTGAAGTATTTGTTTGAGATTTTCAGATATTTAATGCTTCCCCCATCCAGCATGGGCAACTGAACCAAAGTCATTCCTGTGAATTTGGGGTGACACCAAAAGACCATGCAAACATGGAATACCTTTTTCTATGAGCTTCAGGATGGCTTCCCTGGCTCCCAACTTCAGGCTCCCACAAGGGGGTGAGAGGCTGAGGAGAGAAAAGGAGCACATGTTCTGGAGTTGGCTTTATTGGGGGATACTGTTTCTTAGAACATTCTATCCAAAAAAAAAATTTGGGGGGGGGGGCAAGGGGTAAGATTACAAAGGAACAAGGAACGGTGAGTGTAACCTCAACCCCACCATGTAATGCCTATGCCTGGAGTCACACCTCATTATCCGAGTGGAGGTAAAGCCCAAGTTATTGTGGGGTGCAATAATTGTTCAGGACTTAAGGATGTATATTTCCAGAGCAGCTCCCAACAATTTACACCTACTTTTGATCCAGTAAATCATTTTTTTCTGAGAATGATACCCAGAACCCCTTTGAAATGGAGCAAGCACAAGTTATTTGGGAGAACTTTCAAGAGAAATAACTGATTTCCTTTTCATATGAACATTATGAACTGCAGTTCCCTCAGTGAGAATAATACAACTAAAAAGTGGTTCTAAGTTTGTCTCTGACCTTAGCAGATGTCATATATGACACTATTTCTTCTCTGGAAGTCCAACAAGCTAGTCTAAATCCATTATCTACAATAATAATAATTTAAAAAACTAGTAGAATTAATCAAGTCATATAGCCCTTGATTTCCTCTTGAATAGTCAAACAAATTTGTGTTTGACGTAAATAAATGCCACAGAACAAGTATAACACTGTGTAACTAGCCACAAACAAACAAACACAACAAAAAAACAAAAATTTGACTCTATAAGAGAGACCCACCTGGATTCTAGGATACCCTTTAGATGCCTGGAGTTTATCATTGAGGCCCTCTGGCTTTGATGGTTAGAAGGACTGTGTTAGCCAGCTTTTCAGCACTGTGACCAAAATACTTGGTAAGAATGTGGGGGGCACTGGGTTTGATCCTCAGCACCACATAAAAATAAATAAGTAAAATAAAGTCATTGTGTCCATCTACAACTAAAGAGAAATATTTTTTAAAAAGAACAACTTAGAGGACAAAAGCTTAACTTTGGACTCATTGTTTCAGAGACTCAGTCCATTATTGGCTGACTCCATTGCTCTAGGCCCAAAGGGTGAGATAGAGGAAGAGCTAGTCAGCTCTTGTCATCTGGCAAGTAGAAAACTAGTTGAGGAACTAGAAACAAGCTATAGGCCACACGGGCATACCTCCACTGACCTACTTCCTCTAGCCATGCCTCAGCAACTTAGCAAGGCCCTAAACAACTTGGCAAGACAACATCTCCAAACAAAATAATTAAAACAAAATAAAATAATTAAAACAACCAGCAGCTCATTCAAATTATTGATCCATCAAATGGATTAATCCACTGATGAAGTTATAGCTCTCATAGTCTAACATTTTCACCTCTCAGCAATGTTACATTCCCTAACACATATGCTCTTTGGGGTGGGTTTTAAAATCCATACCATAACATGGACCAATAGTCATTTTGTTTCTGATAATGGCCTGTGTTAGTTTGGCAAAGTATCCTAATTGGTATTCATCTCATTTTGATCAGCAAAATTTTGGCAATGGTGAAAATCTGATTAACATGGATTGAAGTTTTCGGGCCTGACTTCATCTGCCTTGGGTCAAATGAGGTAACTGACAAAAAAGTATGCTCTGACATTCAGGAAATGGTCTAACACAGCTAGTCCTCAGTGTTGTTAGTAGCTTGCCTGGTGCAAAGTTAGGTCATGTTATTCCCTTTTACAGACTCTCAAGGAACACCAATATCAGACAAAGTCACTCTGGTAGTATGAAAAATTGAGACATACCAAGACCTCTTTATAACTTTGTATAAGCACAGACAAAAACAAGGTCACTATGACCTATAAAATACAAAACACATCTCTTGCTCAGATACTATGAGTGACTGCTCTATTACCAATTACACCTTTATCCTTGAAAACCTGCCTTCCCTGTAGATGAGATTTATTATGATACACAATCAAAGTTGTCCTTCCTTCCTTCCTTCCTTGTATTGGGGATTGAACCCAGGAGTGGTTTAGCACTGAGCTACATCCTCAATAATTTTATAATTGTTTTATTTTGAAATGATGTCTTGCTAAGTTGCTTAGGGCCTTGCTAAGTTT